AAAAAATGAATTCATTTTTTCTGTTTTTCTTTCTTTCTTTCTTGAGAAAACTACGGCGCAGTCAGGGTTTGAGTTTGTAATTGCACTTGAGGCAAAAGGGCCGGTAATGCTGAATGTATATGACCTACGTTTTGGGTCCGGTGGGGTCGCGTGGGGGGGTGTTGTATTCGTGGGATTGCCTGAAGTGCAATTACAAACTGTTTTTGTGACTGCGCCGAAGTTAACCCTTCTGTCTTTTTTCTTTTTTTTGCTTTTGCGCTCTTTTTTTTTTTTTTTTTTTAAAGTCCAGGGTGTTGTAGAGGTTAGTCAGTGAGTGCACAGTGATCGCCTGGAACTGTGAGCCGTGGGTGTCCCTTATGAGACCCCATCCCAACCCATCCTCACGTCAATACTCCTAGCGCACCCCCTATCCCACTATCCTACCTCAGTGTGACCAGCACTCAGGACCATTGCCCTACCCACGAGCAGGCAACTTGGACCGAACAGCARTGATAGGCACCAGGGCTGATGGCCAGCCCTGGTGGAAGCGGAATTGAACGAACCTTGTCGAATGAGAACTTCGGACGCCAGGCCCAGACAATGAACTACAGGGCCCCATATATAGCCACCAGACAGTTCTATCCCAATGTCAGTAGGAACTGCACCCAATGGCACCCTATCCAACCAGCCCGAACCTCCTGCAGGCAATAGACCCCACCAGTGACCAACTCCCCATTTTTATGTGTATATATTCAGTGAATCTGTGTATGGAATATGTGTATATATGGTTGTATGCTGCTCTCCACCATGGAGCATCTACGAAGTGAATAGTAAGTACTGGTGAGAAGTGCTCGTACCACCTCCCCTAGCACGTGAATACATGTGTGTGCTCTATGAATCGTGTGTGTATATCAAGGAGAGAATGGGGCAAGCCGGACAAGGACCCCCTGCAAGGACCGAGCCAAGCTCGAACCCGTTACCTTGTAACGTGTAATCGAAGACTCTACGGTATGGACAACTACCAGATATGGATCGAACGTGTGATATGCCAGACTGGGGAGAAAATCAGAACACCCAAGACCAACACCCCAAGCAAACCCTGTAAACCCACAACCAAATACAACACCATGGACTACCCTTGGGCGGTGCGCAGGCAGTGTCTGTAATAGTACCATGCGTCAGCCCAAGGGGATGTGTGTCCAGCCGTGCGTCAAACTAACGCCCTGCCGGTGTCCATGCGCAAGGCTGCAGGGTTTTGAACCCGCAACCTTATACCACAATGCGCATTTCCAACCGGTGCTCTAACCACTGAGCTACATCAACTGGACATTGCGCTCTGATTCTTGTGAGTCGTGACAATATCTATATCTATATATATATATATATATATCGTCAAATAGAACTGCCCGGTAAACCGTAGGCAGAGATATATATATATATATATATATAATTTTATTTTTTTTCTTTTTCTTTTTTGCAGTTTTCATTTTATACTTTTTAAGATACCAGAACATAAGCGGTTTGGAAAAAAAATATATGGGGTGGTAGGGTTAGAGAAACCCTACATTCCCGTATTTTCCTTCCATATTTTCAGCAGGGGAAAGTTCGGTATAATTGGTAGAAAGAGCCCACGCCAAAACCTTTCCGGTATTGGGCGCCGAAAGTCGGCCGTTTGGTACTACCGGCCCAAACCATCTTCAGCCTGCGTGAAAAATGCCTTGGCGTCGTGGCCAGATCTGCCTGGGCCTGTTTTTACCATTTCAAGAATTTGGCGCTGTTTTTGCGCCAGATTCATGAACCAGTAGGGCCCTTCTTTTTCAAAATCCCGTACGTGGGCCTCATTCGATACTTCAGCGGAACCACCGTCGGCCTCTTTTACATCAATATGAATCTGGCGCTGTTATGCGTCAGATTCATGATCCAGTAGGGCCCTTGGAGCAAAGCGTGGGCCTGTAGTACCCCACACGGAAGTCATTGGACCGGTAGTACCAAACGACCGAGTTTTGGGCGCCCAAAACCGACAAGGTTTTGGCGTGGGTCAGTGAATCCCCCTCTGCGGCGGCTATCCGCTGAAGGTATTCCAAAGAAAAAAGAACAAAAAAAACAGCGAGTTTTTTTTTTTTTTTTTTCCGTTGATTGAGTAATTGATTGATTGATTGATTGATTGATTTATTGATTGATTGATTGATTGGTTGATTGATTGGCCCCACAGGCGCACAAACACACACACACACACAGGTAGGATTGTATATTCCCATGTTCTAGCGAAAGATTCATTCGATTTTTTTTTTTTTTTCGTTGATTGATTGATTGATTGATTGATTGATTGATTGATTGATTGATTGATTGGTGGGGGCAGGGTCGCCCCCCCACCCCCAACAGGCCCACCCACACCCACACACACACACGAAGTATTGTATATTTCCATGTTCTAGTGGAAGATTCATTCGATTTTGCTTTTATTTTTTTCGTTGATTGATTGATTGATTGATTGAGTGGTGGGGAAGGGGTCGCCCCACCCCCCCGCCACCCACCACGCGCGCCCTGACACACACACACACACACACACACACACACACACACACACACACACACACACTCACTCACTCACAATCAATAAATCAATCAATCAATCAATCAAACCCCTTTTTCGAAGTTTTATCTTTATTTATTTTCAAATTTTGCATCTGCATTTTTTTTAAACGCCTCATACCCCTGCAAAAACCAGAAATTCATTTCTAAAAAAATACAGGTGAACTCAGGACCATATATCTCGTGATAAAAAATGACAAAAAAAAAATCCAGCTTCTCTTTATAATTTTTTTTTTTTAAAAATCGAATCTAGTTTTTGTTTTTTTTTAAATCCTAAACAAAGTTGGATTCCAAAAAACAAACTATGGGGTTGTAGGGCTTAAAATTTCCCTACATTCTCATATGTTTTTGTTTTTCTTAACCTATTATTTAATTTAGGAAAATTCTGGTAAAATTGGGTCCGCGGCGCGGACCAGGTCGGCCGCGGACGCGGCCTCATCTGCGTCCGCCATCCGAGATCCGACCCGCGGATGCGTCCGGGGGTGTTTCATAGGCGTGGGCTCTTTCTACCGATTATCCCGGAAAAAATATCCCAAGTCCCGCACCCGCGGACCATCCGCGGCGGTCCGGGGTCACAGCTGGCATCTTGCCCGCAGGATAGACCCCGCGGGTGATACATAGGTCCAAAACCAATTATGGCCCTTTCTTTACGAACCATTGGCACAATAGTAGGGCTGGCTGTTCTCTTTTCGGTATGAACTGTGACTGGATTTGAACCCGTGTGTGGTATAACAGTAGGACAATTTTCTCTCGGTATTGTCGTTGTGGTTTTGAACTTGAGTGTGCACCAAGCGTTCAGTTCCTTCTGCTATTTGGCTTCTTAGGGCCTTGTTAGACACTTCTTACGAGTTCCCTGAACCACAAGGAAATTTCCTTGTGGCTC